TTTTTTTTTTTTTTTTTTTTTTTTTTTTTTTTCTTTTAGAGAATAGAAGCTCTTCGAGGCGCTTCGTTAGGTTGTACGAAATATTTCGAAATATTCTTCGACGAGTTGCTCGATCGATCGATTAACAATTTCGATAATTCGAAATTTACGATAATGTTCGAGACTCGTCGAAATGTGAAGATCCTTTAGATTTACGAGTTTTAGAATCGTTCGTTATTTAATATTCAGATAGAGATGTCTCTAATGATGTCTTCGAAATAATCGAAAATCGTCCATTTCACGCGATATCTTTCCTATTCATACACACACACACATATATATATATATATGTAAAAGCATATCGGTAAAAGAGGAAACTAGAACTGGAGAATTCCTCCAGTTTCGAGGTTATCGAGTTGTCAACCCCTCTCGACAAATATTCGCCTCTCGACTAATAACGAAGTTGGGGGGGAAAAATTTCAAAAACGACCCCCCTCCCCCCTCCCCACGTTATCGTCCCTCCTCCTTTCGATCTCTACGTTTCTCGAGGCGAGTTTAGAATCGAAGTCGACGACATTTTTTTTTTTCTTTTTTCTACTTCTCTCCTCGATTCGTTTCTTCGATTCTCGCGAAGCAAGAAGAGGGGGAGGAGAGAGAGGAGCAGACCTCGATATCGAGAATCCCTTAAACTTTTCGCGGAAAATTCGCGTCTTTTGAAACTGGCTCCAATTAACCGGCCGACGTGTTTCCTAGGGGAAAGTTGGCCAGGTTGGGGGAGGGGGAGAAGGTTTGGGTCGGAGTTTAAGCGGCCTGCCTTAATTCGCAGGATTCGATTCGTGGGAATCGAGAGGGTTGTCCCGTGCTGGAAAGTTTCGAAAGAGGGGTGGGAGGGAGGGGGGAGGGGGTGGGACACATTCGTCTAATCAGATCAATTTTTCGATAATGAATCGTCCGCCAGGGTGGTGGAGGAAAGTGTTGCTCCTCGCCCTCCTCGAAAGGACAGCGTCTCGAAAGTCGTTAATGCCTTTAGAGGCTGTCCGTGTTTCCTGGATATCCGATGACCGACGAGGGGTCGGGGAACACGCGGCCTCGTCGTCGAATTTTTCTATTCCATTTTTCGACG